CCGTCAGATATACGCCGGCTGCCGGGCATATAGCCACTTAGATACAATAATGTAACCCAAACCCAAGAGGATAGGGTTACAAAGCCTCCCTATCCTTTTGTGCGGAGGAATGCCCGAGTGAATCACTCGGGCCGGTTTGCTGGTGCGTTTTCAGAGACTAGAACTTCCAAACTGGGTTTATTCTCAACACGAACCTTTCTCCGCTATCTGGGAACTTAATTACTATGTATCGCAATACTCTGTATTAAACTAATATAACCTGTTACAAAAATTCAGAGTGACGAGCGGCGAATAGACTGAGCGCCATTTCTGTTGACCTGTGACGTACGCATTTCCCAATGCGCATAGCGATCGGCAAACGCAGCGCCCTAATAGCCACTGTGTAGTGTGTATAAGTATATTGTCATCAATCATGAATTGCAAAACAGCTAATAATACCTATATTAATAACCCAAATAAATTACCGTCACTACTCTTATCCAAACTTCTACTCAAAAGTGTGATGAATTTCCTCGCTTTCTTTTCCATTTCTACTAAGAAAGATTTCACAGTAATACAAGTCAAACCGTTCTAGAAACGCAAATCTTGAGGTAACGCGTGCAGGCAGCGGGTTCTCCTAAACACCGGAATGCCTCGAAATGACTCGAAATGACCCGAAATGACCCGAAATGCGCCTACTTAACTCTCGAAATGACTCGAAATGTCTCAAAATGACTCGGAATGTCTCGAAATGACTCGAAAGATAAAAAAATGACTCAAAACGACTCCAAATTCACCTACTCAACTCTAAAAATGTCTTATGATATCATACACTACATTTTTTATAGCCTCTAGCAGGCCCCTATCTAATATATATTTGAGTTCGTATGTATCTATGTATCTATGTATGTATGTATGTATGTATCTTCCCTATAGGCGAACAAACCGCCCAAGCGATCTGGATGCAATTTTCACAGGGCCATCTCTTATACCCGGGGAGTGTTCCTAGACGAAAAAAACCTGTCAAACCGTCAAACTCACCGAAAAATCCGTGAAAACCCCGTCAATTCCTACACTGTACAGTGCTGCCACACAGAAAAATCGATGACTATTTCTTGCCATCGCTTCATCAGCTGTTGCTATTGTGAAACCGAAACCAGTACTAAAACAGAGCACAGCCAGGACCAGCTCAGAGGTTACGACTGCATTGTTTATCAAGAGGCTTTCAAATGAGAAGTGCAACTCATTCGTACATGCTGTTACGTGCCGTACGTGCCATACGTACATGCCGTACGTGGGCAGCTCAACAGTTCGAGACGCCAGGAATCTTTACATATTTCCACCAGAGAATAACACAAAAAAACATTGTTTATCAAGAGGTTTTCAAATGAAAACTCCAACCCATTCGTACATGCTGTTATAATAACTTTTTCTCATTTACACCATATTACTATTATGTTCCATGGGTTCTAAGTTGGGTTGTGCTGTCACATAAATGTCNTCACTTTTTCTCATTTACACCATATTACTATTATGTTCCATGGGTTCTAAGTTGGGTTGTGCTGTCACATAAATGTCATACGTAACAGTTTTTTCCCCATGCTAAATTGTAAATATTGATATTCTGTGCAATGTTATTGTCGATTTTTACCCAATGTTCCTATTGTGTCCGAATATTAGTAGTATGAATTAGTAGCACGATTTTACCCAGCGCAGCGGGTACCCGCAGCTAGTATATATATATATATATGCTTACGTCGGTCGTATTTATGATTTTAACTTTCATTCCGAAACGGTCTCACTCATTTACTTGTGTGTTTTATCCTATCATAATTATGTTAGCATGACACAAAGATATGCGCGTGAATTATTAGAGGATGCACGAGCTGTTTGATCGTGCCGCAGGTTTTGCTATGCAGATGAAGAAGATGAGAATGTGATGTGTGTGAAAATGAACTGATGTAGAAAGTGATTGATGGCCACATGTGGCAACTCAACTAACATGTTGTAGGATATCCGACAACATAAAACCTCATTTCCCTAATACTGTATTTATTTAGCAAAGTATTCATTATTTCCATTCAGCATATTCTTCAGCATAAGATATTCTCATAATATCTGTTGTTCTATAAAAAACAAACATTGCACTACTGCTGCATTCCTGGTTTAGACATCTTATGATATGCCTATAACAGTTTCCTCCAACCCTGTACTGTCCAGTCATAAGAGCCTCACATGTTACAGTTATGGTGCGTTACGTTTCCGTATGTTACGTACGTTCTGTTTCGTTATGTTAACCCTTGCATTCTACACATTTCTAGATTCTTTGCATTGTACAATTACAGTATTCATTTCAATCTATGCAGTGCCTTCAAACTATGCTAATTATGTTCCTTTTTTTAGAATTCATTGCTGGGCTACTTCATTATTGAAGTAGCATTTCGTACTCTCTACTTTCTTCTGAAACATAAACGTATATTTTGGTCGCGAAGGCATCCCGAGCAACGCCGGGTCCCCTCGCTAGTGTGGTACAAGGTGTATGGAATTACCTCACTGCCACATCGAAGGTAGATAGACTTGACCGATGTTTTGCGCTGCAAATGGGTGTGTTACTTTTGCGCATGTGATAGAAATCGGTGCCCGAGGTTAGGTGTGGTATTGCTATAGGCTAGATGGGTGTGCAAAACTAGTTACTCGATGTTTTGCGATATGACTAGGGTGTGTTACGTTTAATACACGCGGCGTCACGTGATAGAAATGGACGCGTCCAATTATAGCTATAGCTCCAAGCGACGCTCGCATATCGAAAGACCTCGTGTGTTGTGCAGGGTGTACTTAGTCTGACGATATATCTCGCAACCTCGCCGTGTGTCAGAGGCAGCTAACCGACAATGTCTGGTGTTATGTGTTGGTTAGAACCAACCAGCGATGATGCTACACATCAGGAAGAGCGGGCAGTGTGTTGCGGGGTGATAGGTATGAAGGTCGGAATTCGGAGAGATAACAGCTCCGGGCGGTTGGTATACTTGTACGAACTGCAGTCTCTGAGAGTACGGTTCAGTACGCGTGACCATGCAGCCCGCTGTATAAAGACCAGAAGATAGATAGATAGATAAATCTAGAAGTAAATAGATATAGATGCCCTCGCACACACGCACACGCAATCATTTCGAAAACACATAGCAACTTTATATGCCCTTACACTGGAAGCAACACGATTCGAATTTGAGTTCGCGATTTTTTGGGCGATGACATATATATATATCAGATATATCAGTGATGCGCATGTATCGGTAGAAATCCTATTCCGCTGGGTTGCTTTACATTATCGTATCTAAACGTTGCACGCATGCAGAGTTACGTAGTAATAACAGCAACAGCAGCAGCAGCAGCCGTATCAGTAGTAGCAGCAGCAGCAGCAGCAATAGCGACAGCAGCAGCAGAAGAAGCAGCAGCAGCAATAACAACAGCAGCAGCAGCCGCAGCAGCAGTAGTGGTAGTAGAGATTTAGAGTTTCAAAGGGTCTTGGCTCTCAACAGGAGGAATTAGACTTTTTTTTCATCAGGAACCATATAATCAGAAGGACATATCGAAGCATCACATCATTTGGTATGATATGTTACTCCTGACGTATTAAGCTCACGGCACAGCGACCGATGGCTGACCTCAGGCTCTCGGGTCGTCATCTCAGGCCGCATATAAACGGCAAAATAATGTTGCGTTTACCTAACCTTTCGGATTTTATAGCCACCCCGGCGCCACAAGCGGACGCGGGCGTGTAAACAGCATACGGCCGTTCGTGTCCCTCGTGACGTCACGTGAGCGGTTTTCACGGCTATCGAATAGATGGCGCTAATTTGCTTTTTTAAAGAAAAATGCGTCTGCTTTAGTTATAAAAGTATAAAAAACACAATTAAACTCATAGCATGGCCGTGTTGTGTATCGCCGTAACGCTATCGTATCGAACGCCCTACGCGGATTTCTGATTCTCGGCCGTTTTGTTGTTGTGTTTTTTTGTCGATGGCCTGATTAAGTGTCCGTAAAGTCTCGACGAACATACTTACACATCGAGTAAAACATTAGCAGCGCGTGTTTAATTGCGTGTTACGAGTGAAGGAGCTCCGTATAACATTACCATAATCCTAACCCTAAGCCCAAGCCTAAGCCTTAGCCTAAGCATAAGACTAAGCCTAACACTAACTCTAACCCTAACCATAACTCTAATCCAACCCATAAGACTAACCCTGAGCCTAACCCTAAGCATAACCATAACACTAACACTAACCCTAACCATAGCCATACTCATGGCACTAATTCTAATACTAATCCTAACCCTAACCCCGAACATAACGATGATTCTAGTACTAACACTAACACGCACCCTAACCGTATCATTAATCCTAATACTAATCTTAATCCTACTCCAAACCCTCACTCTAATCCTAACCATAACCCTAACCCTGACAATAACCTTAATTCTAACCCAAGTCCTAACCATATTTCTAACCGTAATCCTAACCCTAACCGTAACCCTAACCCTAACCTTAACCCTAGCCCTAGCCCTAACCCGTAACCCGATTACTAACCATAACCATAACCTTAACCCTAGCTCTAACACGTAACCCGATTACTAACCATAACCATAACCTTAACCCTCGCCCTAACCTTAACCCTAGCCCTAATCCGTAACCCGATCACTAACCATAACCATGGCCCTAACGCTAACCCTAACCATAACACTAACACTAACAACAGCTCACATATTCACATAGAACGCCTACCGTTCTATATACCACCATGATACCATGTATGAGCTCAATGGATTTTAGGTCTATAGGCCTATTCCAGACAGACGGCGCGTTACTTTATCTGTGTGGCGGCGGGTGGGGGTGGGGGCATAGAACGCATAATTCAACGAGTAAGACCAGTGGCCCGAGAGCAGCAGAGACGAGCGGTAGCGAAGAGCACGCAGGTGGCCACTTACCTCCGCCACCTGAGCGCGTTTAGAGATATACTTTATGTCACCCGTGTTTTGCAACTACGCTCGAGTTCCAACCCCACCCCACCCCACCACCACCCCGGGAGCCACGTCCGCAGTTCTCACCCGGAGACCAAGGTTTTCCGCGACCAGCAGGGTCGCGACTCGCGAGCTAGCGCTAATGGTGCACATCTGGGCAGACACTGTGCTCTTTTTTTAACGCGAAGGACCTCCACACTTTACAGAGGGGTGTAAATTGCGCTAGCGCTCGCACTCGCATACGAATTTTGCGTCGCTATTATTATTAAGTACTTTTACAGCCGGTGGGAGGGGACTAGGCCAACAAACGCAGTGTATCAATAGACAAGTAGAACGAACTCAGAGAAATGGGTATAATTTAATAGCGAGCTACAAACCGACAGGAGTGGTTTTCATAGTGTAAGGGTGTGAGGGTGGTGGGGGGTTGAGGGAGGCGCCGAGTAAAGCTCCGAAAAGCTTACTGTTTCTGTCACTGGTGCGTGTCACCCTGGCGTAAACAACGCGAAACGAAACAAGATCCGGTAAGCAGGTGCATCAAAACGTCGGGTCGCCACAGTAAGCAGTCGGCATAAGCAAAGTGGCAGATGTTTGCATTACGCTGCTACG